TTGAGAGTTCTGAATTGCCTGTCGCTTAAATAATTGGAATCAACGTTTACCCGGCTAAAAAATTCGATTTTGGCGAAAGTCGACTTTCCCCCTGGAAAAACCGAAAATCTGATCCTTTGGCTCCGGATGAAAATTTTTTTTTTTCAGTTTTCACATTTTCCACATACTTTTGAGAGTTCTGAATTGCCTGTCGCTTAAATAATTGGAATCAACGTTTACCCGGCTAAAAAATTCGATTTTGGCGAAAGTCGACTTTCCCCCTGGAAAAACTGAAAATATGACTCTTTGGCTCCGGGTGAAAACAATTTTTTCATTTCGACATTTTCATCCATTCTTATACTGCAGCAGGGGAACATCTCGACGTCAGGTCAGCCCTTCAATTTTTCAGGGATTTTAGACGTAAAAATTGTAGGAATACACACTGTTAGAAATTTTTTAAAATTTTAGTTACAGATGCATTTTAATTTTCAATATTCGGAACTTGAATTCAATTTCAGACTAAATTGTTCATGGAATTACTGATTCATCTTGGAAATTCAATCAAATTAATTTTTTGGGATGAATGATCATTGAATTTTCAATTACAATTTGGAGTTTCACACCTATCCCGAAAATTAAGCATTCCATTCAATTGAATTTTCAAGAGATTAGAAATTTTGAAGAAAAGTTGCCGGAATTTTCACGATTTTCAGCAATTTTCATTGTCGTATGAACCTGATAAAGCAAATTTCATTTCGCGATGTTAACATTTCAGTCACGAATTAACCATCATCCTAAAATATCTGAATCACATTTTATCGGGTAAATTCAATTAAGCGAAAAAGCAATTGACAATATCGAAATGAGAGACGCCTCAACAGCGATAATTACCATCCATTAAAGTGTCCCCTCCATATTCAAGGGTAATTCTATACATTTTCGAAGAACCAAAATCCAAATGTTTCGAAAACATTCCCTAATGGCGAATCATTGTCATTTCCATTCATTTAAGCCCGTTAATACAAATTCTATCATTGAACTGGAATGACGACGGATATTGCAGAATAAATATCATCAATTCCCTGGCGGTCGGTATAATGTAGTACAAATAATTATCACGCGCATATTTAATTGGATCTATTTTCCGAAACATAGATTCAATTACGTCATTCATACATCATCAAATTTGTCGCAACCGAAGCATTCAGTGTCATTTAAATGATCCGACATTTTCCACTAGATTCTCCGCGGTTACACCATCAAACTCAACTCATCATGTTCGATATCTGTCATAACCGCGTGGGGTTTACCGAATATCAAAGGGCCAACGATCGGATAATTCCACCTGAATGAACCAATTTCGATGGGGGAAAAGCGAAACGATTGATAAGCCATTATCGCAGACGAAAGTAAAAAGTTCTGGTTTATATTTCTATCATTTTGCACAGGAAAAAAATATCCCGTGATCTAAATTAATGGAAACGCAATTATCGGAGAGAATCTAGGTTAATGAATTGACGTTTTATAACGGTTGATGTGAAAACGTAGGGAACTCGGGGATATAAAAAAGAGAAAAATTTACTTGATTATCGTAAAATGAAATGACGGGTTTATCGAGAGTTGTCGTTGCTGAGTAACTATTTATTTCACGGTGAAAAATAAAAATATTTCACATTAATTTCGGTGCGATGGTTGGTATATATGTGTGTGCACCCAGAATAATGACAGATTCGTACCAAATTAAACTTTTAACACCCAAAGAAGAATGTACTTCTCACCAGTACCGACCTACTTGGGGGAAGTTCACTTGTGAAAGGTTCGGAAAATATACTTGTCCCAGATACTTTTTGTATCCTTGAGTAAAGTACCACATCTGCCGATCAAGTAGAAATAGTATTGGGAGGCAGTAGCTTCACAAGTACCAAAGTTACTGATGAAAATTAATTTTTGAACTTCTCTCAAGTACTTTTATGACTTAATTTCAGTAATTTTAATTGATTACTTCATTAAGAAAAGCGAATATTATCGACGGATAAAATGAGCTTTCTTGCGCATTTGTGTAAATAGGAGTATTCAGGAGAAGATATTTTGTAGGAGAAAATCAGTAAATTGTGATTTTTATGGGTGCTTTCCACACCGACTCGATTTCCAATTTTGAGAATCGTAATTCACGTTCTTGAAATCGTAATTCACGTTATTTCGACCGTAATTTACCATCTCAAAGGCGTAATTTACCCGTCTGAGAAAATCGTAAATTATATTTTGAAAACGTGAATTACCATTTTAAAAACGTATTTTACCCTCAGATTTTTCTGTGTTCACTTGTGCTCCAATATTTGGATGTTTGTAATCTCAAATGAATTCCTGAAAAAAATTATGAGTACTGGATTTGAGTACTATTGCTATTTATATCGAGTTCCGTTGGTACTTTTGAAAAGTACCAGCCAGGTACTCAGTACAAGTACCAGTTGACTTGTCCCGAGTAATAAAAGTACTTATGACAAGGTACTTCTCACCAGTACCCAGGTACTTGACGCATGATACTTGCATCCAGTTCTTTAGTGACTTCGGGGAAGTACAAAATTTGGTAGAAGTACTTTTTCTACTGATCAGAAGTAGTTTTTCTTTTTATGTCCACAGCGGTTTTGTTGCAAATTCATCAACTTGTATATCCATTTCGCCAAGAAAAATAATCACAATAAAATTAATTCTAACATTGATTGGAGGTAGTAGAATCTGAAACACTTGCATCAGTGGATGTAATTTGAAATTCGTCGACGCAGTGGGCCGTGTAATTCTACGAACAACCTAGGGTGATGGAAAAGTCTTTGGATAGGGGAGAGAAAAAAAATATAGGGCGATATCCTCGTAAGCCCCTTTTCTTTCCACCGCTCCCTTTTTGCATCCATAAAATGAATGTGAATCTATCATTTCCTCACCGGTGCAATTATCAACCCGTACTAATTAATTAATCCAATTTCCCTGTTAAAATGATACAGAGATTCATTACAAAATATGTTTTAATTAGAGTGTGCCGGTACATTATATTTCATCATTAAGATTTGGATAATTATCGATGGGTTCATTAAATTACTGCAGAATATATGATGAATCATTAGTGGTGCTTTTAATGGATTTTGTTCTTTCATTCGCTCACCAGTTCACTTTGGATTTTGTCGTGTGATGACTGTTTCATTTAATCACTGTTTAATCATTCGCGGAGTCTAGAGATTCGAATAACTAGTGGATTTTCCTTTTTGTGTCATTTGTACTCAATTAGTCAAGGACATGTATCACATTCCAGTCGTTTTGTCAGTTCTAGCACTTTTGTGGGAATCAAATATGATGAGAATTATTCGAGTCAATAAGGAAAGTTATTGACGGTAGAGAACTGTGTCATTAGAATGCAAGAGAGGAAAATCCCATTTGTATAAACTGGTGCTACAAGAGAGTGAATTCTCAAGGTGAAAATTTTCTTTGGGTGTATGAGAAATCTTGTTCAATCCAATAAAATGAAATAAACAATGACTTATACATGATAGAAGGAAATGACGTGACAAATATCATTGGGAAGCATATTGCCAATTTATTGGGAAAAATAACTGTACTAAATGCAATACAATAGCAATACAATACAATTTCCCGCTTGTTTTGAATCATGGAAACAAAATTATTCAGTTATTCATTAATTTCAAAGAGAGGGTGTGTAAATCATGAGTTATCAAGCGACAAAATGAAACATTCACGATGTCCAAAATTGTTTTTGCTACCACAATACCATCTCTCAGCCAAAGTGCGCGATAAATCCATATTTTCATTGAAGAAACAAATGCTCCGTAATGCTAATAAATTATTTGCTGCGATTACAAACAACTTTATCACGGTGCCTCAATATTGTGACATGATCACGTGAAATTTATTTCCCAAACTCACTCATGTTTCACGGGACAATGTTTGTCGACTGAACGAATCACTTTTCTGTGTGAACAAATGACTGATATTTGCCATTCACACGGGCGCCGCATTTGATGCTGTTTCACATTAATTTGAACTCGGGGATTCAATTTTTTCCGGCGTATTCACCAACCGTGAGCATGTGTGGTGATGATCAAAAGACCCATTATTCATTTCATAGCAAGCAAATAGAAAACGATATGTAATTAATTTGGATTTTCATCAGGGGTGAGTCACGCATAATAAATTTTACCCTTCCAGTCTAATCATTTTTATGTAGATAGCAATGAAAATTCTAGAACGGTTGGTAAATTTTACCCTACCGGTACAGTAATTTTTACTCTACCGTAATTTTTAGTAATTTTTAGTAATTTTTAGTAATTTTTACTCACTTGTAATACCACAAGAGCTTCAAAATTATCGGGTATTTTCCGATAGGTTCGTTTGTATGCAGGGAACCTTGAGGAAAATGCCCGATTAATTTTGAAGCTCGTGTGGTATTCGGGGGATTATTTTTCCAATATAAATGTCGGGCAATATAATTGGACCATGAGACGAAACTCATAATTGACAAACGAAAATTGTATAATTAACACAACGACACAATTGAATTCAATCTGTCAGTTTGACGAGGGGTTAATTCGACTGCATGATGTTTTGTTTTTTATATAGCAACTACCAGAGAAAATTATCAAAAAATTATCAGTTGAAAACCCTGTAGCTTGTACCACGTGATGTCGAATGGGCCAATTATATTGCCCGATATTTGAGTTGGAAAAATAATCAGGATAAAATTCTCTAAAGTAGAATAAGATTAGACCATCATATGCTAATTTTGACTAAATTTTGGGACAGTAATGAGGAAACGATGACTCATGATACCCTTTTACAGAACGGTAGGATAATTTTCATCAAAAATTTCTCTCCGTTTACGGACACGGTCTAAAAATTGCAGTTTCGGACTTTTTGGATCATGATGAGTCCATAAAACACAAAAAATCCGAAACTTAAATGTGAACGATTACAATGCTGCCATTCATAAACTATAATTAAAAAACTGCAAAAACCTTGGCTGCTATATGTTCTTGAATATCCATATCCGATGACATGGCCAACGAGCCCCAGGGTGAGTACGATCAAAGGTCGCAATAATGTTGGGTTGATGGTCGCGTTGACCAGCGATGATCCAGTCTGACGACGGTCGGCTCTCATCCCTCCTACGTGCATTAAAATCTGTCGTGCCGTATATTCCTCTCAACCCCTTTTATCCCCTCTCGCCGTTATCCTGAGCTGTCCTCGCAGCTTCGCCAGCGACAGTCAACACAAAAAAAAAGCAAAAACAAAAAATCCTCCGATCGTAAATTAGTAGCTGGGTAAAAAGCAATCCGTTTGACGACACATAAAAAAACTTGAAAAACCAAATGGGAGCCGAGGAGGAAAAAGGACTAAAGGGTGGGATAAAAAAATAAGCTAATAAAAACGGGGCTTCTCTCTAGGGTATTATCTGCCTTGGGGCTCTTCTTAACGTTCTAGCTCGTTGCAGTAGCGCCTCGTCGACTCGTCGTAGTAACTTCCTCGTGGGGCGCACGTGCGCCCGCAGTCAGAGACCGTACCACAGTCTCTCATGTTCCTCTATTATTTTTTTTATATTTCAACCTGTGCAGCACCACTTCACGTTCTCCGCTCCTCTCTCTCTCTCTATCCCTAGCTTTCCGCTTCTCCGTAAACTGTCGCTTGCCCCCTCACCCCCACACACCCCTCCCCTCACCGAGACACCACCACTTTCCTCCGTTTTTCAACCACCGACTTTTCCACACCTTTATAAAAAAAATCACCCTCAAAAATTCGTTTATCCCTCCAATCGTCATCCGACCTCTAAAATCCCAAAAACCCACTGATCACCACATTTCACAGCGAATCCATCTCGTTTTCCCGCGTTCTCTCACCGTTCAAAATCCACCCCCCGATTCCTCCCACTCACCCAACAATCCAATCCCCCCAAATAAATCTCTCAAAAATTCACAGGTGCCATTGCACAAGAAAAGAACAACTCTCACAGCAATTATCCCCCCAAAATAATTACCAATCAATTGTCCTCGGCAAACTGTTCACGCGATAAATCCTCCTTCATTTAGAAAACCACACACGACACTCGATTCTTCTCCAGGCCTGGGTCCTGTCCCGGGCCGTGGACTGCCGCTGCCTGGAAACCCTCGGAGTACAGGAGGATACCCATACGGCACTTCGACCCCTCTCCCCTCCCCGTGATCCTCCAGTTCCGTACGATCTCCGTCCCCCTTCCGCCCGGCGGTTGTGTTCGCCCTCACACTTTCGTTTCATCGTACCGTCTCGCTCCCACTCACCTTTCCCCGCCTCCGAAAATCCCCCCCCTCCGTCCGTCTATCCGGGAATACTCGCGTCCGCTCGGTTCCAACCGACGATTCCCGCGAATCTCACTCTCTCGCTCTCACCTTTAACCCCCCTCTCCGCCCCTAAAACCCGCGCTCTTTATTTACTCCCCTCCCCCGCTCTGCGTCAGTCTCGTTCGCACAGCGGCAATTCCACCCTCTGTTTCGCTCGCTCTAGCACTTCCAGCAGACGCTGGACGACGCGACGCAGGGCCACAGCAGCAGCATCGTCCCGACCACCACCACTACCGACCCCCCCCCCCCCCCCCTCGTCGTATTCGTACAGAACCCGTTGTATCGGTATGAGTAAAGCGCGTGCGCTTCCTCCCCCCCAGGAGTACGTAGTGCCCGGGCATCAGGGCACACCGTTCCTCCCGCCTATTTCATTCTCCACCTCTCTCCCACCCCTGTACTTTTACCGGCTCGAAAATAAAGTATCTCATCTCCCTCTTGCCGACTGTAGAGGGTTCACAAATCTCTCCTCCGGCCCGTAACAAGTTTCGTTACAACGCACAGACACGAAGGATGTGGCGGGCCGGACGTCTTTGCTGTCCGCTCATTCGTGGGCCTCCCCCCCCCTGGCGGTGCATCGGCGTCGGCCGTTATTCCCTTTTATATGGGGTCTACCGCGCTCTCACCTAACCTCAACATCTCCGATCAGCGCTTTTACCGCATCTTGCTTTATATTATGTGTCGGGGGGAGTACATGTGTATTGTATTTACCTTTGGCCACCGGACGGACATGTTTTAGGCCTGGGTATGGCTGAGGTTCCGTGATCCACCGGTATAGGAGGGACTGATGGGTTGAGGGTGAGGGGGGAGGGCTGGAGAAGAGAAGTGAAAGAAGGAATTGGAGGTGGGAGCCTGGGCAGACTCTTGGGAATTATTCGCTCGAGGTGCAGGGTTATGGCACGCGTTTACTGAATGTTTGGGGGTTACTGGTTTTCTGCAATTCGTTTTTGGTTCGTCACTCCGATTAAGGGGGAAGGATTTAGTTGCTGTTAAGTATACACAGCAAAAACGAATGCCTGAATTTCATGCATCTTTCAAACAAAAAAATCTAAACGTAAATTACGGTTAAGAAGGCGTCTTTTACGCTCGAGGTTGAAGCGTGAATTACGCTCAAAATCGCGGTAAATTACGATTACATAAACGTTATTCGCGACGATTATGAGCGTAATTTTCGAGTGCGAAATCGTAGATTACGACGATTATAAATCGTAATTTACGACAATTTTAAACGTAAAATGCGCTTTGTTTAGGCGTAATTTACGTTTTTATTTTGACCGTAGAATACGCTTTTTTAAAGCCTAATTTCCGATTTTCATGATGGAAAAAAAGCCACCAGACATCATATTGACGTTCAGTGTAAATTACGTTTATCAAAACGTAATTTACGTTTAGCAAAACGCCATTTACGTTTAGGTTTTTCTGTGTGTTTGTAGACATTTTTCAGATACCAAAAAATGTCGGAATAAAATTAAAATGTGTCTGAATTTTAGATGATCAGGTGCCCAAACATCTTAATTCACTTTTGAAATTCAGACAATTTTCATTTTTTTCAGACGTTTTTTAGTGTCTGAAAAATGGCTACAAAAAGTGTGTGAAAATCAGATATTCGTTTTTGCTGTGTAGGCTTTTTAAAATGGGTTTTAGAAAAGTTGGATAAAAATTACCTCGAAAATCGTGACAAATTTTACTACAGTGTTGGAAATTTCCTGACATTTTAGTCACAGCGCCAGCAGAATTTTTGATGTTGTGAGGTTGAATTCATTTTAACATGAAAGCGTTCACTGAATTTCTCATTCATCTTCAAATCCAAGAAAGTGGGGTTTTTCATGTTGAACAATCATTGATTTTTCAATGACAGCTTGAATTTCCAGACTCATCGTGAAAATTCAACATCACGTACAATGTAATTTTCAATAGATTGAGAATTCAGAAAAGTTATTGCCTGAATGTTCAAAAGTTTCGAGGTTTTTCAGTGCCGTATGGACCGGAAAATTGAGAATTACTTCAATATTCAAGAAGTTAACTGTTTCGTCAATGAAGAAATATACAGAAATTTGACGTAATTATCTCGTTGTTAAAAATTTCAAGCTTTTTCACTTGAAATTTCAAGAGTAATTTCGTAACTGTGTATTCACAAATGGTGTTAATAGTTAAGAAGCCCGTTAACAGCAACTAAATCCTCCTATCAGTGCACACTCAGAAGAATCACGAATTTGAATCGAATAAAACTCTATAATTCGAAAGTTTTCCGTTCATTTCACCGATATTTTGTTGGGAGTTCATAAACACGTATGTTTACTTCAATGAAAATGTTTTAATGGTATGAGATAAGTGAACCATTAATACATCCACGGTCTTCTCGCCCCCTCCTCCTCCCTCCGGTGCATGAGCGTCAGCCGTTATTCCCTTTTATACGGGATCTCCCGCGTTTTCACCCAACCTCGCATCTCCGATCAGCTCTTACCGCATCTTGTTTTATATTATGTATCGGGGGTAGTACATATGTGGTGTATTTACCTTTGGCCATGGGACGGACATTTTTTAGTTCTGTGTATGGCTGAGGTTCCGTGCTCCAGCGGCCTCGGAGGGGCTGAAGGGTTGCGGGGCGAGAGGCGGAGGGCTGGAGAAGAGAAGTGAAAGAAGGAATTGGCGGCGGCCTGGGCAGCCTGGGCAGAGCTTTTGGGAATTATTTGCTCAAGTTCCAGGATCATGGCACGCGTTTACTGAATGTTTGGGGGTTACTATCTTTCTTCAACTCCTGTTTGGTTCGCCACACTGATGAAGATAGAAGGATTTAGTTGCTGTTAGCTAGGCTTTTTAACCATTAATTCCTTTCGTTAACTACGAACGAATGGTGTTAATAGTTACGAAATCTCGTTAACAGCAACTAAATTCTTCTATCAGTGCAGCCTCACAAGTATGACGAATTTAAATCGAATAAAACTCTAGAATTTAACAGTTCAGTGTTAATTTCATATTTTTGTTGGGAGTTCATCAACATGTGTGTTTATTTCAATGAAAATGTTTTAATTCAATAGCGAAGTGGTAAAACGGTTCAAGTCGACTTATGTCCCAGTCGAGTTTTTGAGGAATATTTCGGAATCTAAGAGAGATAGCGAAATTTTCGTAAATACATTTGTTGTAGCTCTCACCCGGCTCTACAAAAAAGGTCATGAGAAAAATTTTGCTATCTCCCTTGGGTTCCGAGATATTCATTGGAGACTGGCCAATAGTCAAAATTGACTTGTACCACTTGTATCAGATAAGTGAACCATTGCTACATCCGCGGGCTATCGGTATTAATTTTTAATATGTTCCGTGAGGGGGAGGGCTGGGTAAAGAGAAATGAAAAAATGAATTGAAAGTGTGAGCCTGGGCAGACCTCTTGGGAATTATTTGCTCAAGTTACAGGATTATGACACGCTTTTCATGAATGTTTGGGGGTTACGATTTTTCTTCAATTCCTGTTTGGTTCATCGCACTAATGAAGATGGAAGGATTTAGTTGCTGATAACGAGACTTTTTAACTATTAATTTGATTTGTTAACTATTAATGAATGATGATAATACACTGGGAAAAAAAAATTACTTCTGCCAAGTAAATTTACTTGCCGCACGTAAATGTATGTAAATATTTGTATTTTTTTATACTATATAATTTTTTTTGTCAGTGTAGTTAAGAAATCTCGTTAACAGCAACTAAATTTTTCTATCAGTGCAGACTCAGAAGAATCACGAATTTTGAATATTCGAATAAAACTATGATTTGAAAATTTTCGGTTAAGTTCAACGATATGTTTACTTCAATGAAAGTGTTTTAATTGTATGAGATGAGTGAATCATTAATACATCCGCGGTCTTCTCGTCCCCTCCTCTTCCCGCCGCTACCGCGGTCTCAGCTAACCTCAACGTCTCCGATCAGCTCTTACCGCATCTTGTTTTATATTATGTATCGGGAGTAGTACATGTGTTGTACTTACCTATGACCACGCGACGGACTTTTTTAGTTCTGTGTATGGTTGAGGCTCCGTGATCCACCGGTATAGGAGTAGCGGAAGGGTTGTGGGGGGTGAG